ATTGATGTTTCTCTCTCACATGGATGTTTCTATCTCTCTTTTCCTCTCTCTCTAAAAAGTAAATTTAAAAAAATAATAAAAAAGCCTGGCTGGCTCCTCTGGTAACCGGTTTAGTATCCTGCACACTTAGATACACATTTTCATTTCGTCTCCTCTACCAACATGCCCCTCTTAGCCATTCCAATTTATTTCTAGAACACACCGTGGTCTCCTACCTTAGACCTCCATGCCTTTTCTCAAGCAGTGGCTTCCACTTAAAATGACCCTTACCTTCCTTTCTCTCCTTTTAAAGGCCAGTTCAATAAATTCCATGTCTTTGGGAAGAGCTGATCCTGCCCTCTGCTGGGCTCCCAAAGCACATTCTAGACTTCATAATGTCAACTTTCTCATTGGAATAATTGTGACACCGCTGGTTTTAAAAATAAAAGTACAGCATGTCCTACCCCATTGCCCTTCCATTGCCCTGGCCGGTTTGGCTCAGCGGTTAGAGTGTCGGCCTGCAGTTCAGAGAGACCTGGGTTCGGTTCCTGCTAAGGGCATGTACCTCAGTTGCAGTTTGTCCCCAGGCCTGGTTGGGTTGTGCAGGTGGCAGCCAATCGATGTGTCCCTTTCACGTCTATCTGAACAAAAAAAGGAAAAATATACTTGGGTGAGGATAAAATTAATTAATTAATTAAAATTAAAAAAAAAATAAAGCCCTTCCATGGAACATATGGAAAGTTCAGACATTGACCCAAATAAACTTGGGAATGTAGATTTTAATAATGAAGACATTTCAAATGAGTTGGAAAAGAATGGTAATATTGGGATAACAGGGTAGTTATTTGGAAACAAATTCTGGATGTCTGCCTGACATCATACACCAAAGTGAATGTATGGTGGGACAAGGATTTAAATACAAAATTTGAAACCATATAAAAACTAGAAGAAAACAGAAAATTATTATTTTTATTTAAAATTTTTTTTATTGATTTCTTTAGAGAGATAGAGAGAGAAACATCAATGTGAAAGAGAAACATGGATTGGCTGCTTCAAACACGTTCCCCTACTGGGGATCGAGCCCACAACCTGTGCATGTGCCCTGACTGGGAATGGAACCGGGATCTCTCAGTCCATGGGGCGACGCTCAACCCACTGAGCCACACTCTCCAGGCAGAAAATTATTTTTATAATATCAAACTAGAAAATGTCTTTCTTAGAATGACACAGAAGTTGGAAGCCACAAAAAAAAAAAAAAAAAAAAAAAAGATCGATAAATTAAAATACATACAACATAAAAATTTCTCCATGGTAATAAATAATAAACTGGGAAAATATTTACAACTTATATGTAGAAAGGATAAAAATTCCTAGAAATCAATGAGGAAGAAAAGTTCAACAGGAAGACTAACTGAAAAAAAGAGCAAATGGAATGAACAGAGAAATTCATCAGAACAAGACGACCCCTAAAAAAAGACTCATAAAGCCCTGACCAGTGTGGCTCAGTTGGTTGGGTGTCATCCTGTGCATGGAAGGGTGGTTGGTTCAATTCCCAGTCAGAACATGTGCCCAGATTGTGGGCTTGATCCCTGGTAGGGGGCATGCAGGAGACAGCTAATCAATGTTTCTCTCTCTCTCTTCCCCTCCTCTCTCTAAAAATCAATAAAAAATATATTTTTAAAAGACTCATAAATATGAAAATTTGCTCAACTTCATTCTTACTAAAAAAAAAAGTGCCTCTTGATTTTATCTATCTGATTGGCAAGGATAAAAAGGTTTGATAACACATTATGTAGTTCAGGATGTGAGGATATAGGCACACTCATTGATGAGAAGACAAACTGGTACAACTGCTATGGAGAACACCTTGCCAAAATCCCTTAAAACAAAGCAAAAACAAATCCATATACTCATTTACTGATAATTCCATTTCCAGGAATTTACCTAACAGGTAAATTCCCACATATGCAAAATAACAAATGGACAAGTTATAACATTATTTATAATAGAAAAGGATTGGAAACTACCTAAGTGTTCCAAAATAGGAAATTGGGCAAGTAAATTATGACATATCTTTATAAAGTTGTTAACTTAAAAAATTGAGGCAGATCCAAAATGTAGAGCTCAGCAAAAACAAAACAAAAATATGGAAGTATCTGTGTAAAATATTTATACATATAAACTTGCTTGTGAATACAATGACTATCTCTGAAAGACTATAGAGGAAAGGGGTTAAGAGTGATGATCTCTATGAGGGGAATTGGGGATTGGAAAGCAGGTTGATAAGACTTTTTTTATTTTTCAATATGTTTTTATTGATTTTTTAGAGAAACATCGATTGGCTGCTTTCTGCATGTCCCATACTGGGGACCAAACCTGCAACCAGGCATGTGTTCTGACCAGGAATTGAACCAGGATCTCTCAGTCCATGGGACGACGCTCAATCCACTGAGCCACACCAGCCAGGCGAGAGGACTTACTTTTTAATTCTATGCTTTTGGGTGTATGTATATACATATATATACACACACATATGTATATATACATATATACACACATATATAATATATAATATATAATATACAATATAAAATATATATATTTATATATAATATATATAAAAAATTTTTCTTTATTGATTTGAGAGAGGAAGGGAGAGGGGGAGAGAGATGGAGACAACATGAATGAGAGAGAACATCGATTGGCTGCCTCCTGCACGCCCCCCGCTGGGGATTAGCCCACAACCTGGGCATGTGCCCTGACTGGGAATCTACCCAGTGACCTCTTGGTGCATGAGTTGACGCTTAACCACTCAGCCACACCTGCCGGGCATGTTTTTGGGTATATTTTTTAACATTCACTTTTCCTGTATACCTAATTTTAATCAATTAAATGAACACGAAATAAAACATCTTTCTTTTTTTTTTTTTATCCTCACCCGAGGACATTTTTCCAATTTTTGTACAGATAGAGTGGGAGGGAGAGAGAGAGAGGGAGAAACATCGACGTGAAAGGGACACATCGAGTGGCTGCCACCTGCACGACCAACCAGGGCCGGGGACAAACTGCAACCGACGTACGTGCCCTTAGCGGGAACCGAACCCCGGTCTCTCAGGACCGCAGGCCGACGCTCTAACCGCTGAGCCAAACCGGCCAGGGCAAATAAAACATCTTTCAATGTTTAGAATCAAATCCAACTTACTTCCATGAACAACTTTCCAACCTCCTCTCACGCATCTGCCTTTCCTCACTACCTTCCAGTCATATTGCTTCTCCTTCAGCTTCTGGAACAGGCCAAAATCTTTCTTCCTGCCTCAGGACAGTTTGCACAAGCTGGTCCCTCTGCACAGGTTTCTAGTCTCTAGGCCCTTCCGATGGATTGGCATTTCCGCCCCCTCTCCTTCCCTTCCTTGGAGGAAGGGAGAGGTAGAAACGTCGATGTGAGAGAACGTGGATGGGCTGCCTCCTGCACGCCCCCTACCGGGGATGCAGCGGGCAAGCCGGGCATGTGCCCTGACCGGAAATTGAGCCGGGATCTCTTAGTCCACGGGTTGACCCTCAACGGCCGGGCGTTGGCATTTTCTTATACTTCAAGACTTGGGTTCTGCGTCATCTCTTCAAAGCGGACATGCTTAGCCGCCCAACAGAAACACTTGCTGAATGAATACCTCTCCCCCTCACTGGGCAGGGCTTACCTTCCTGATCCCCAGTCTAAAGTAGCACCTCTCCCTTCACCCTTGTTGTGACAGTACTACCCCGATTTACTTTCTTCATAGATCCAGCCACTGTTTGAAATTCCCTTGTTGGTATATTTTCTTAGTTGTTTGCTGTCTCTCTCTAAAGGGTTTAAAAAGTCCCCGTGAAAGCAGAGATGGTGTCTTGTTCCTTGTCTTGTTTGGTTCCCAATTCAATCTTCAGCAACCCAACCATAAACATTTGATGAATTAATTTATGCAGCCCATACTATGGACCATACACTGTTCTACAGACTTTGCAAACAACTCTTTATTGTTTATTTTTACTTATTAATTTGAGAGAGAGAGAGAGAAACATCAATTTGTTGTTCTCATTTATGTATTAATTGGTTGATCCTCCTCGAGTGTGCCCTGACCAGGATCCAAGCCGCAACCCTGGCGCAGCAGGACGATGCTCCAACCAACTGGGCGCAGGACAAATATCAACTCCTTTAATCCTCACAGTGGCTCAATGATAGAGGTTGATTTTTACTCATTTTACAGTTAAGGAAAATGGGGCACAGGGCTGTTGAGTAACTTGCCTAACTGGAGTTGGAATCCTAAGCACAAAGTTCTTAGCCACAACGAAATGCTTTTTCGATATATAAGCTGACAGACAGATGAAACTGACTGACTGAACCAAGGAATGGAAATGTAAACGTTCATTTTTTTTTTTTTTTTGGCGTCTCCGGGTTCCCGAGACCTGCCGCAAGGGGGCGCTCTCTCCCAGGTTTTGACGCCAGTCCTCAAGGCGCGCACTCCCTTTGCGTCTCGGGCTCGCGCGCGCTGCCGCGGCACCGGAAATGACTGAGCTTGCAAGTTCCCCCGGTCTCTTCAGGGGAAACTGAGGCCGGTTCGTTCGAAAGAGACAGAGGGGACCGTCATCCAGGTTGGCCGGCCAGGGTCAGCGGCGCGGAACTCGGCCACGAAGAGCCCTCACATCTAGAAACGACCTGGCCGAAGAAGGGGGAATGTGCCCCCCACGGATCGCGAGGCTTGCAGGTGAGAACACCGCCTCCCCTGTGCGTGGCAGGCGCTGCGCCCAATGAGAGTCCTCGCCGTCCCGCTTCCGTGCTGACTGGGCCCTCTGATTGGTTACGCTGGGGCGGGCCGCCGGGGGCAAGACCCCTCCTCCCAGAAAGGTCTAGGGGGCGCCCCTGAGGGAGAGTGGTTACCTAGCAACGGGGCGGTGGCCCGGCGGGTACCCGGCCCGGCACGCGGGAGAAGCCGCGAGGCCGCAGCCCACCTTCCCCGGGTTCCAGAGAGGTGCAGCCCCCAGCCCCCAAGCCCTCCCGGGGGCGCCAGGAAGCCGCCCGGGGCCTGGCTCCAGGAAATCGTGGTCTCAGCTGCCCGGGTCCTCGAGCAGGCCCCGACCCTTCTCCTTGACCGGAGGAGAGGCTCGGCGCCTCACCCTCACCCCGTCTTTGTGCAGGGCGCCGGCGGCCATTGTGTCCGTGCGGGAAATGGAGGACCCGGCAATCCCCTACTGCCACCGCCGCGTCCAGGGCCTTTGGGGAATTCAAAGAATACCAGCGGCGTTTCTGGGGGGTCCCCGGCCTTCAGCCTCCCGGAAAGGCCCGGGGATGGTCTTTCCGAAGTCAGACCTCAGATCCGAGGCAGTTTCCCCTTCCCTCGGTCCCTCATCGAAACCTTGAGCCCCATTGAGAAGTCATTTCAGGGTTTCGGATGCCTCACCCTGGGCCGGTACTTAAATAGAAAAAACAACAACCAAAAAAAAAAAGAAACCTAAATCCCACACCAGCCACCTCTGGGAGAATTCTCCTATTCTCCGGGCTCCCAGTAGGAGGCGGAGAGCCAAGGAGCGTGCAAGAGCGAGGGGGCTGGGCTCCCGGGTGGCAGGAGGCCGCCCTCATTCTGGGCGATGGAGGAGGAAGCAAGCGAGGTGGCCGGTTCCTGAGCTTCGTAATTCCTGTGTCGCCCTCTGGGCTCTCAGCCGGCTGGGTCGCATGATCCATCCAGCCGGAGCTGGTTTTTTTGCTAGCCGCCGCGAGGCCGGCTGAGTTACCGGCATCCCGTCTGCCACCTTCCCGACCTATGATACAAAAGATCTTCCGGGGGCTGCACCTGCCTGCCTTTGCCGGAGAAGGATTTGAATGTAGGTGGAGCGGGGGTGGGGATGGGGGCCAGACAGCTTCGGAGAAAAGGGGGTGGCTGGGGTTAAAAAAAAAAGAAAGAAAGAAAAAGCCGGTGTGATGGTTCAGAGCCCACTGGTGCTTTCAATTTGACTTCATTGAAGTCTCTGGGAAGCTAGACCCAGACCTTCATAAGAGCCACAAAGAAACCAGTTCTGGTATCTGGAGGTGGAATGTGATGGTGTAGGTTAAATGGCTTGCATATTAATTTTTTTTTCCCTGAAGCTCTTTCTCTCCCTTCAGAACCTTATCTTGGCATTGGATCTCAGAAGACAACCACTAACTAGAGACCAGACTCAGTGAGTGAGCAGGTGTTTTGGACAATGGACTGGTCGAGCCCATCCCTATTATAAAAATGTCTCAGAGCAACCGGGAGCTGGTGGTTGACTTTCTCTCCTACAAGCTTTCCCAGAAAGGATACAGCTGGAGTCAGTTTAGTGATGTGGAAGAGAACAGAACTGAGGCCCCAGAAGGGACTGAATCAGAGATGGAGACCCCCAGTGCCATCAATGGCAACCCTTCCTGGCACCTGGCGGACAGCCCCGCAGTGAATGGAGCCACTGGCCACAGCAGTAGCTTGGATGCCCGGGAGGTGATTCCCATGGCAGCGGTGAAGCAAGCGCTGAGGGAGGCAGGCGATGAGTTTGAACTGAGGTACCGGCGAGCATTCAGTGACCTGACATCCCAGCTCCACATCACTCCAGGGACAGCATATCAGAGCTTTGAGCAAGTAGTGAATGAACTTTTCCGGGATGGGGTGAACTGGGGTCGCATTGTGGCCTTTTTCTCCTTCGGTGGGGCACTGTGCGTGGAAAGCGTAGACAAGGAGATGCAGGTATTGGTGAGTCGGATTGCAACTTGGATGGCCACTTACCTGAATGACCACCTAGAGCCTTGGATCCAGGAGAACGGCGGCTGGGTAAGGACCACGCCCCTTGTGTGTTCCTTTTCCTTGGCCTCTGGTCAGAGAAATTCTCAATGGCCTTTCCCCATATCTTTCTGTTGTGCTGGATGATTACTGGACATGTTTGTTAAGGAAACATGACTAGCCTCAATGCACTGCAAAAGGTTAACTGTTCTAAAACACAGATGACCTAGTTCTTGAAGGACCAGCCATCTTTCATTCTGGTCACCCTCATGACCCTACTCTTTCATACTTGTGTTCCAGTTTCTCAGTGGAGGAAAACATAGCCTGTGTATTCATTTGAGAGAGGGAAGTTAGTCCAGTGTTCCCCTCCCCTGACATAATGGCTTACCATGGAGAGGGATGATGAGTATAATGCCTGGAGAAGATAGTGAGTATCAGTGACCCATAAGCCCCTCCATTCTTTCTCCCCCAGGGATGTCAGTCTTTCCTGGGCTTCCTTTGCCACATCAAATTCTTTTTATTTCAGAGTTTGCATATCTGATATTCTCCTCTCAGAAAAGGGCATGCATGGGCTGGGCAGGAGTTTCCCACTGGCTTGGATGGCTGAGGATTGTCTGATTTTAGTGGCCAGTTGTGTTTGTGCTGCATCCCTATGTTCATTTGCTCTAAAGTGTGCAACTTTCTGCATGGTTGGCCTGTTTGCTGAGCTCTTGCTGTGTCACACATTAAGCCTGGACTTTGTACCTCACTGCCTAGGGTCGGTTGGGAGCTCCAGCTGTTCTGCCTTTTGCTTTCCGGCTAGGGCTCTGGGGCCTCTTCACTGAGCACTGTTTGCTGGCAAAGCAAGAACTGAGTCTGTGGGGCTCTATGGGACATCAAAATTGAGTGACTGACTTCAGAATCAAACTGACATGGGTGTGAGTGAGTCCCAGCACTGTCACTTAACTAGCTGTGTGGCCTTGTCAGACTAGTTTACCTTGGACCTAAAAGGTAAAATACACGTGGCAAGCCCTTCTTGCCTTGCAGGATATTGTAAATCTTGGAGCTAATGTGAGCCCAGTGACCGACACCAACAAATTTGCTGTGGTAGTCGTTCTTGGTCCCAGACGCACTTTCTGGGCCTAGGAGTCATGCCTCATTGCTTTCCCAGGGAGGGAGAATTCTTTTGCCTGTCACCAAGTCAGGATGAGATAGTGGTGAGAGATTCTGTAGCAGTGGTCATTGTAGACAGTTTTTGCTATTCTACAGTGACCTCAGTCATATTTTCTTGCTATCTCCCTGCCTAAGGGAGGTAAGGGCTTATGAGAAAGGTATTCTGTCCCCTCAGAATACCCCTAAAATTGAGCAGGCTGCGGAAAATAAGTCATCTATTGAAGGAACTGAGGTGGAGGGGCCATGCACCATGGACTCAGGAATGTCAAGAATGCAATTATCCATAGGCTGGGCCTAGGGCGTGGCAGACACTTCAGTTTACTACTGAGCAGAGACCTCTGAGTTTGCCTTGGTTTTATTTCCCATTTCTTTGCAATTTCATCAACTCTTCCCACTGCCAGTTCTTGTACAAGCAAAGAGATCAAGTCAATAGAGGTCAGATGACTGGGGTGGTGTGGGGGAGGTAAAGGTAGAGGGCTCTGTTGAGCTAAGGCTGACCAGACTTGAAAGCCATTCTGTAAATGAACTCCCCGGGGGGATAAATGATTAAATAGTTCCTGTTGGTTTGTTCAATGACCTCTCATTCCCTCCTGCTTTGATTTTCTTTGGGGGCAAATATTTGTTCAGCTGATTACAGGAGGGACAGGATTCCTGTGCTTCAGACACACCCTCTGAGGCATCTCCAGGTAGACTTGGGCCATTTGCCTACTTCGTGTGACTGTAGTCTTTGGCCAGTAGTCCTAATTACAGGTAGGTGGGTTGTTGCCAGCTATTAACAAAAGGCATTCTGGGAGAGGGCCTGGTTTGCCAGCCAGCCTCTGCAGAGGGCTACCTGGACTAGAGAATTGCCAGTCACCCAGTGTTGTATGTGAAAAGAGGTTTTAGACACAGCAGCACTAGGCAAGTTCATTAGACATCCACTGGATTGAAATTCTATGTTCTCTCTCTTTGCTCGAGAATCATCAGAGCCCGTTGGACAATGTACCATATACTTCTTCCTCTTGGTGAACAGAGGGGAGGTGTGCAGATGAGCTAGTTATGTCAGGACCGTTTCTGGGCATTCATTTTTCCCTGAGGCCGGAAGGTATTGACTCAGGATCCTTTGGGCAGAAGGTACCTGCCCACTTCCCTTTCAGATACCATTCTGTTTGAGCTGCACAGACTTGCTACTGCAGTGGCATCTCATAACCTTCCTGGAGGATGTGACTGGGGGGATCCGTGAATGTAGGAGTTATGGGTCATTCCATCCTTGGTTATTCTCTAAATTTAACATCCCTATAGGAAAAGGAAAGGAAACGAGCCTTTATGGAGTACATCTTATGTTCGAGGCATTGTGTTAGGTCTTTTACTTATGCAACTAAATTTACTGAGCATCTACTATGAGACATGCACTGTGTTAGGTGTTGGCCATAAGCCAGACATGGTACCTTTCCTCATGGAAATTATATGCTATTTTATATGTTCAACACAATAACTTTCCAAGGTAGATAGGTTTGTTCCCAGTTTACCTGTGAAGCTAAGTGACTGGCCCAGGTGTCCCACAGCCAATTAAGTGACTGAATGAGGAGTTACAAGTAGGTTGGCCTCACTCCAAAGTCTAAACTTTTTCTATCCATATCAGATTCTATAAGGAGTAATAAAGTGACCCCAGCATACTAGCAAAGAAAGCCAGAGATGCTGTTGGGCCAAGTAACATGCCTGTGGAGATGCTTGCTGTGGTCTGTGATCCTGGCATTGTTTAGATAGCTGCAGGAAGAACTGTGCTTTTGTTGGACAGTAGCAGGTTCCCAGAGGCATATGTGTAGTTTCAGATTCTGGCACTAGTAAAACTCAAGTGGGTATCAGAGGTTTGCCCAATCAGAATGGCCTTCTTGTTAATTTTTTCATTGTTAAAACCCTCTCAGGCCCTATTGATAGATAAGAATCGTGCATGTGGGGAGAAGGTGACCTGCTCCAGGTATGTCTACTTAATTGTGGGAGATGCTTCAAGGACTGGAATTCCGGATTTATAGCCACACCACCACTTGCCTGGAGTTACCTGGCAAGATGCTGAACCTGTTTGTCTCTTGTTCATCCATCTCTCCCATAATGATGGCCAGCTGCCATAGCTTCACTCTAGGAAAGGATCTAGAACAAAGGCCCTTCCCAGGCCTTAATTGTAGGGTGGAAGCACCCCTTCTAATGAATAGACTACCTGCCTCAGAAGACTGAACTTTGTCCCTAGAGTGTCTGAAGAAACAAAGTCAGCCCCTAAGATAGTCATCCAGAATGGTATATGATATGACCTTCCGTGGAGGGACAGAGTGTTTCTGGGGCTTTCCAATGGGAATGTGGACAGTTATAGGATAAGGACCCTGGTGAGCCAGGACATTTTGGGATTGCTGTCCCCGGGAAACCCCATAGCTAGATGGAAACACCATTGTTGAGAGCAGTAAACTGTGTAGGAGAGAAAACATAATTTGGCCTTTCCAAGTTTCATGGCTCTGTGGTCTTCTACTTTCTGTACATTTCTTCTTGCCTGTTTTGGCTTCTTCAAGCATAGATATGTTTCGCTGAAACACCTCAGCGACCTTTGCAGATCTCAGGAGCTGTTGGCAGCTCTGCAGTTTTCTTGGGGGAAACCCCATTAGAAACCTCAAACGTGGTCATTTTTAGTAATCTCATTAAGGTCCCAAAGTGAGATAGAAGTGCTTCAGGGGCTCCCCCTCAAAGCATCCAGTTCTTCTGGATGTATATTTGAGGTTGCTGCTTAAACTCTGTCACTATCACAGGGGTTTCCACACTTCCTAGGATGGATTTCCCCAGTAGCCCTATGGAGCCCTTCAGCTTCTGGTAGAAAATTACCCAGGTGTTTTTTACAGAGAGCCCCAATGGAACCCAGAGGGTTTTCTTGACTTTTGTGTGGGCAGTCACCAGATTTGTTTGGGCTGCAGGAAGCAGCAGTTGTTAGCTGTCTCTTCCCAAACAGGTATCTGTCTTGAGGCCAGTGGGCTTGAGTATCCTCTTCTATCCCCAGCTTCCCTGTTTTTTCCAGTGCCCTCAGGTTTTCATCATGGGCTTTCTTTCAGCAAATGTCTTTTTTTTTTCTGGGTTTAGCATGGATAGGTTTAGGGGTAATTCCTAGTGAGCTGTTCTACAGAAACATAATCTCCTACTACATTAATTAGCAGGGTCTTGTCCCCATCCCCAATCTCCAACCTAATTCCACCGAGTCTTCCCTAAGGACTTCCTTTCTTTTCTTTGAAGGAGTCACTCTGCTCCTAGATCTATTTCTCTCCATTCTTCCAGCTGACAGTCTGTCTTCCCCATTCCCAGTTGGCGGACCCGAATCACACAATCCCACTGGGTCTTTTTGTTTAGCCTGGGGAAGAGAAGACCTAGGAGAATATGATCACCGGTTTCAAATATCTGAAGGAAGAGGGGCTAAGCCTTTTTAACCAGTCTAGTACCCAGCAGAACTTAGATTAATGAGAGGAAAATAACAATGGTAGAGTTTAAATTAGTGTAAAGAAGACATTTCTAAAACTACCATATCTCTATCAGGTTTAGAGGCTTCCCGAGTGTCCTAAGTCAACACTTGTTTGTCCATACATATTTCCTCAGCTCTGAATAGAAGTCTTAGGTCCAGCAGGTACCTAGTGAAAGAGAAGCCCACTAAATTTCTGAAGAAACAGACACATATTTAACCAGAATAATTGTAATGGGAATTTCCCTTTACCTAATCATTTATTCATTGATTTGAACAGTATTTATTGAGCTCCTACTATGTGCCAGGCTTTTCTAGGTTCCAGAGGAACAGCATTAAATAAAACAAATATTCTGTCCTTGTGGAACTCATATTTTAGTGGGGAGAGACAAATAATAAACATGTAATTTTACATATATATGTGTGTGTGTGT